ATCACAATTTATAGTGTACTCGCTGCATCGGAGCGATAAAAAAGCTTCTGACATGTCCGGACGCGCGCGTGTTCCTTTTACGAGTTTCGCAATGTCACGGAAACGCATCTCCGGATGCGAACGATAAAAAGAACGTAGCACGTCGCGATGATCGCATTTCTGCAGACGAAGACATAGAAGACAAACAAAAAACTCATCGTACTTCTGAGCAATAAAATTTGTCTGTGTATGTGTTCACCTTTTTTCTTAACTTTTCATTTTTCATAGATGTTTTGCGACTCGAAAATAGCAATTTCAATAATAAATTTAAAAAAATTTCTATCATTCAAAAGAAAGTTTAATAGCGCAAAGCATAGATTGCAAACAGTTAAAAAATACACATAAGTATCGCACTGCGATAAAGAAAAATTCGAAAGAATTTCGAACAATCAAAATACTATTTTCGCAATTTCTATTCTTGTCTTCTACGAGACATTGAAATTTATAAGAATCGTTACAGAGGAAACACTACCGCACTATAAGAAATCTGATATTCCTATATCAAACTTTCATAGAATCTGTGGGAAATCTATTTAGGATGGAACAGAGGAACCCCTTCATAGATATGCGATTACGATGCGACGGAAACGGATATGTAAAATAGGCGGCCTGTAAACGAAAATCTATAGAAATATGGAACTATGAAATCGCTATTCCCCACTTTCTAGTATCTGCAGTGATGAATCGCTACGAGGACAAAAATATTGGCCGGTATTTCAAGAAAAATATTGAAGTTTCTTTTTTCGTTCTTTCTACAAAAGTTTCAACAAGCAATATCAAATAACTCGCGTAAAAATATTCATTCATGATATGATCACCTACCATTTAAATTAACATTTTAATTATTTTAAATCTTCATGTTGTTAAACAAAGATCAAAAATATCAAGTTTTCTGCACTGTAATAAAAAAATATGGTGTTAAATAGTTATTTTTCAATATAAATACGAGAAACGTTTCAAATTTTTATTCTTTTGAACAGCTTTGTTCGAGCAATGTATACTACTTAAAATTTAAAGAATTATAGATATAGATATTTGCCCAAACATAACACAATTTCCTAATTCGATGTGAATTGGAAATCCAAATTCGCGTAAAACATCCGTCGAATACAATTTGAAAATTCATTTCTTCGCATGAACGATTCGTGACGTGAGCAGGATCATACTTTGAGCGCTTATAGGATTTGCTCGGCTATACGTGGATTCGATAAATCAACGACTAATCGTATTTCTCGTATGCAAAGCGTCGTTTCTGAATATCGCGAGAAACAATCGTGCGAATAAATAAATGCATACCATTGTTACCCTATACAACATGTCTTTATTAGTTAATCGTGTGTATATACAAATATTCAGTCAAATATTTTGTTACGGCTTTTACCCCTGCACTACGTGTGCACATATTGATCTACTATATTGCATACACTCCGTGTTATACTCAATGGGCTTCTAAAAGCTTCCAAAAATTATTCAAATTTTGCATTTGTTCGTAAATGTGCAAATATACTTCAGAATGTTTATATTTATAGATGCAATAAAATTTTTTATATTAGATATGACTTGCTATCTTTTATCGTAAAACGCGATAAGAACATTTCTGCCAGCAAACAATTATAGATTAATATGTTATTAAAAATGTTGTTAAAAAAATATTGAACAAATAAAAACTAAAATACATGTTTACTTAGCTTAAATATGCTTCA